TTTTATTTGAATTTCTGAAGGTATGAAATTTATGAATTTCAAATAAGATAATTGTTAAATATATTTTGTTACAATATGGACTTCAAAATAATTCACTTCAAAATCATTATTAAAACCTATAGAATTTTAGCTCGAAAAAGTTGTCAAAAGTTATTTCTTATTATCCTATTGCCTACTTTTATTGTTACTTTCAATTCAACAATATATTTTTGTCATTAAGAAATTTCTCGAATTTGACAGATTCTTAAGTGGGCAAAAGTTTCTAAAAAAAAAAAAAAAAAAAAATCGTACAGCATTGTTACACCTTCTAACTTGGAATTGACATTGGAATAATTTGCTCAATTTATTTATTACACTGTTATTGCAAATATACGTGATAGCTAAATTATAATTGTAAATATATATATAATATATATCAAAGATATAAATTACAATCTATATTTTTAATTGAAAATTGTATCATGAATTTTCTTAAAACATTGAGTATATTTATTTGTTGAAAGTTGCAGCAGAACGGGATCCCGAATTTTTGGCAACTAAACTCTTCGGAGAAAAAATGGCGGAGAGGAAGACCGTTAGATTTGGACTGATCCGTTTCACGCCGGTTACAATTTCGAAGCACCCACCGGAAAAAGGACCTGGAAGAAAGGTTCCTTGCGACAAAGCGACAGGAAACTGACCGCCGCACCAACTGTTAGTTATACAACCACTCAACGACCCTTGCTAACCGTTGCTAATTATGGAATTCCTTCCTTCCTTCCTTCCTTCTTTTCCCTAGAACTGCCTTTCGTTCTCGCGCCATTATTTTTTAAGGAAACCATTATTTCAAGTCACTGCATTGGTTACCAACCAGAACGGATTAACCGTCGAGCGAAAGCAATTATTCAATTGCACATTTTCTTCTTCGTGCAGCTAACGTATCCTTCCATAAGTGGACAACGAAGCTTTTGTCCCTTTGGAGAGACGGAAAGAGGTTAGGTGCAGGAGGGACGAGAACGAAAGTCGCGAACCAAGGGTCTTTCTCTGCTTCGGTGTAGGCTTACACATCGTGCGAAACTCTCACGATGGTTCAGTTTGAGAGATAACGAATCCTTATGAAAATAAAAAAGAAAGAGAAAGAGTGAGAGGGGGAGAGAGAGAAATATGTATTTGAACCCTTCTCCCTTGTCATGCACGGATTGACGTCAATTTCTTCTTGCCGCAAGAAAGAAATTTCTACGGCATCTCTCAAGGTTGATCCAGGTTGCAAACGAATCGAAACAAAACACGAGACAACGTTCGAATAACTAAATGATCGATCCTCGGTTTTTATTGGTATATATCGTATGATATTTATAAGACTAGCTTGGTTTAAAGTTAGCTTTGTTATCCAGTAAGTTTAACATATTTCAGTCATTAAGTTGTGTCAATAAATTTGCTCGCACTTCCTTGAAGTTTGTTGCAATTGTAATTTTTAAATTGAACAACATTTATTCACGCTACTATACTCATCACTTATCTATCCAATGTAAGCAATAACTTTTTTTCCATCATTCCTAAAAACTATAACAAGAAACTTCGAAGAATACAAGAATTCCTTTCAATTCCTAATCAATTTCTAACCGTTTCCCAATCGTTCAAATTTTTCACTGGATCAATCGATATTCCCCTTACTATGCAAATACTGTGTAATTTCGTTTAATATGAAACTGCATTTAGAGAGTAACTTCTTAGGTTAGGTTTAGGTTAGGATTTTCGTGGAACGATCCACGGGTTAACCGCGGGATATGGTTTACCGTATCGCATCTCAATATAACCCCCTCGTAAAAGACAAAGGGGAAGAGCAGTGCCTTGGCTCTTTGTTTTAGCATCGAATACTGTAATATATTCGCATTGTTCTCCGCGGCCGGTTTTTGCCCGAAGGCTAACGGCGGCTTGCCCTCCAAAGGCAAAGACTCGTTGCGTTTCTGATTCAGAGGGAAAAGAGCAGAACCTCCCCTTCCAACCCTCCCTCGTGATATATTGACTGCCCGGCTCACTTTATTGGGAGGGAACATAAAACAGCCTTGTGTATATTCGCATGAAAATGTTAACACGCGCTACCTCCACGAAAGCGCGAATTATATTTATACGCCTGGTTTCGCGGTGGAGAGATCGAGATAGAAGAAAGGGGCCCCCGCGGTAGCGCCAGTTTCTTGTCAATTATGCAAAATAGATTAGAATCCGATAGATAGATTAATATAACGTCTCATTCAATCCTCCATCTCGTATCTATCTTTTCCCTCGCCCTTTTTTCGAGTAACATCGAATTTGCCCGTTTATATTATATATATATATATATCTGCGTCACGCAAATAATTAAATACTTTTATCTGTCATCGTATTATTTTCAAATTAAGATTGTAACAACACAATGTAACGAGGAAATAAACGCTGTGTGTATTCCAACTTTCGTTTCACGTGTGCTCGGTTTGACTTAGATATTAATCGTATAAACAGTCGAACGCACGAAGGTTAAGAACCGGATCATATTACACCGTCTACTCTTTCCACTTCGATAAGACAAACTCGAATGTTAATAAATGTTCTAAACATGCTCGCAATACTTATAAAACTTAGTACATACTTTGTATGCGAATTCGAACGAACGAAAACCAATAAATAAATCAAACGCATTTTTTTTT